TGGTATAAATTAGAACTAACTTGAGATACATTAGAACTAATGTGGTTAAAATTAGAACTAACTTGGTATAAATTAGATAAAACTTGGTATAAAATAGAACTAACATTGTATAAACTAGAACTATAACATGGTATAAACTAGAACTATACCAAGTTATAAACTAGAACTAACTTTGTATAAATTAGAACTAACATGGTTAAAAATAGAACTAACTTGGTATAAATTAGATATAACATGGTATAAAATAGAACTATAATGTGGTGTAAATTAGAACTAACTTGGTATAAATTACAATTAACTTGGTATAAATTAGAAATAATGTGGTATAAAATAGAACGATAACGTGGTATAAAATAGAACTAACTTTGTATAAATTAGAACTAACTTGGTATAGAATAGAACTAACTTGGTATAAAATAGAACTAAAGTGGTACAAAATCAGAACTAACGTGCTGCGACAGAACTAACATGGTGTAGATTAGAACTAACACGCTACAGAATAGAACTAACATGGTGTATATTAGAACTAACACGCTACATAATAGAACTAACATGGTGTATATTAGAACTAACACGCTACAGAATAGAACTAACATGGTGTATATTAGAACTAACACGCTACAGAATAGGACTAACTTGAGGTAAATTAGAACTAACACGCTACAGAATAGAACTAACACGCTACAGAATAGAACTAACATGGTGTATATTAGAACTAACACGCTACATAATAGAACTAACATGGTGTAAATTAGAACTAACACGCTACAGAATAGAACTAATATGGTGTATATTAAAACTAACACGCTACAGAATAGAACTAACATGGGGTAATTTAGAACTAGTTGTTATAAAATTGAACTAATTTGGTATAAATTAGGACTAACTTGAGATAAATTAGAACTAATGTGGTTAAAATTAGAACTAACTTGGTATAATTTAGATATAACTTGGTATAAAATAGAACTAACGTTGTATAAAATAGAACCATAACGTGGAATAAAATAGAACTATAATGTGGTATAAATTAGAACTAACTTGGTATAAATTATAACTAACTTGGTATAAATTAGAAATAACGTGGTATAAAATAGAACGATAACGTGGTATAAAATAGAACGATAATGTGGTATAAAATAGACCTAACTTTGTATAAATTAGAACTAACTTGGTATAAAATAGAACTAACTTGGTATAAAATAGAACGATAACGTGGTATAAAATAGAACTAACTTTGTATAAATTAGAACTAACTTGGTATAAAATAGAACTAACTTGATATAAAATAGAAATAACGTGATATAAAATAGAACTAAAGTGGTACAAAATCAGAACTAACATGCTGCGACAAAACTAACATGGTGTAAATTAGAATTAACACGCTACAGAAAAGAACTAACATGGTGTACATTAGAACTAACACGCTACAGAATAGAACTAACATGGTGTAGATTAGAACTAACACGCTACAGAATAGAACTAACATGGTGTATATTAGAACTAACAAGCTACATAATAGAACTAACATGGTGTAAATTAGAACTAACACACTAGAGAATAGAACTAACATGGTATAGATTAGAACTATAACGACATAAAATAGAACTAACATGGTATAATTTAGAACTAGCTGTTTTAAAATAGAACTAACTTGGTATAAATTAGAACTAACTTGAGATAAATTAGAACTAATGTGGTTAAAATTAGAACTAAATTGGTATAAATTAGATATAACTTGGTATAAAATAGAACTAACGTTGTATAAAATAGAACTATAACGTGGTATAAAATAGAACTATAACGTGGTATAAATTAGAACTAACTTGGTATAAATTACAACTAACTTGATGTAAATTACAACTAACTTGGTATAAATTACAACTAACTTGGTATAAATTACAACTAACTTGGTATAAATTAGATATAACATTGTATAAATTAGAACTAACGTGGTATAAATTAGAACTAACTTGGTATAAATTACATATAACTTGGTATAAATTAGAACTAACATGGTATAAAATAGAACTATAACTTGGTATAAATTAGAACTAACTTGGTATAAATTAGAACTAACGTGGTATAAAATTAGACTAACTTGTTATAAATTAGAACTAACTTAGTATAAATTAGATATAACTTGGTATAAAATTGAACTATAACGTGGTATAAAATAGAACTATAACATGGTATAAAATAGAACTAATTTTGTATAAATTAGAACTAACTAGGTATAAATTACAACTAACTTGGTATAAATTACAACTAACATGGTATAAATTAGATATAACGTGGTATAAATTAGAACTAACATGGTATAAATTAGAACTAACTTGGTATAAATTAGATATAACGTGGTATAAATTAGAACTAACTTAGTATAAATTAGATATAACTTGGTATAAATTAGAACTAACGTGGTATAAAATAGAATTATAACTTGGTATAAATTAGAACTAACTTGGTGTAGATTAGAACTAACACGCTATAGAATAGAACTAACATGGTGTAGGTTAGAACTAACACGCTACAGAATAGAATTAACATAGAGTAGGTTAGAACTAACACGCTACAGAATAGAACTAACATGGTATAGATTAGAACTAACACGCTACAGAATATAACTAACACGGTGTATATTAGAACTAACACGCTACATAATAGAACTAACATGGTGTATATTAGAACTAACACGCTACATAATAGAACGAACATGGTGTAGATTAGAACTAACACGCTATATAATAGAAGTAACATGGTGTAGATTAGAACAAACACCATATAAATTACAACTAATATGTTACAAAATAGAACTAAATGGTGAGGATTAGAACTAACACAACATTAGTTAAACTAATATATAAGAATAACACGACATCGCTGTATTTGGGTTAAGATTTTTAACAAACTGTTTTCTGGATAAGTAATATTTAACAAGAACTAACTGGGCAGGGGGTTGAAATACGCAATGATGCCAGGTCCTCATTTGTTGCTACCCTCGCTGGATCGGTTTCGGTCTAAGAAACCCTTTTCGCTATCACTCGCCTTCTTTTTTGAAGGTCCTAGCTTACTGCGCTTTGAGGAAGGAGAACTAGATTCTGCTGAGCCACTGTGGGAGACGGTGGGGTTTAAAGGAAGAGGAACATTACCGATGGGGAGAGACCTCGGAGAATTGGCACCCCCGACCTCTTGGTTACGTAGAAATAGCTGCCATTGGTCTCTCTCGATCGTCATGTGTTTGCCATCCCAACTAACCTCAATTAACTCGGGGTCGGTCCTAAAGGGCCGCGCACGCTGGGGCCCTAAGTTAAGTCATTGTTTGTGGAAAAATTCGATGTAAAAGATATGAAAGAAAAATTGATTTGTATTCTCTCAAAATCGATTACAATTTGGATTCTGATTACAAAAGAGAGGAGAATGAATTTGATTCTCCCCTTTATTTAAAAACTGGGTTCTTCTCGGTAGCGATGGAATGCCTCTTTCGATTGCTTGCGTCGAATTCGCTCACCGTTGACGATCCGACCATCTTTTATCCTGTGGGAACGATGAACTTTTGTGGAAAGCTTGATGAATAACTCTTAACGAGTTTAAGAACTCAGAACGAGTTAGAACTCTGTGGATCGAGTTGTTAGAACCAAAAATTCGGTTAATGACCAAGCAGATCTTCTGTTGTTGAGGAATCCTCTTAGATTTAATCTTCTAAATTTGATTCAAATCTTCTATCTCCAAGGAATTCACCTCTATTGCCCCTCTGCTCTTGATTTCCCATTCCAAAATGCCAGCCCCTAACTCAGTTGAGTTTTTTGAGATTTTATAGGTGGATAAGAGGTTGTAACTTCCCTCTAAATCCGCTTCTAAGTGGGCGTGATTTCCTCAGATCGTGGGGAAAACGGTTCTGAAACCGTTCGACTCATATTTGAATGAGTCAAACGCCCAATTTGGCGTTCAGAACCCTAACCTCGCGTCTTGGAATTGAGACGCGAGGTTGGGTGTTGACTGAACATAAAAAACGCGAGGGCCGCTCATGTTCAGCTTGTTGTAGCTTGGAAACGCGGGGTCACCTGCATTTCCAGAATTGTAACGCGAGGATGAATTCCACGTTTTTAGAAGGGGTTAGCTAATTTGTAACCTCTCCTATAGAGCGTTGCGAGGACTGTCGTTCAGTAATCCTCGCGTTAGCTGTTGTGGGGTGTGAAAATCGTCAGATTGTAACTTTTACTGTAGATTATGAAGACTGCTGAATAGAGTTTTCATCAGTTGTCGGAAGTGTCGTTGATTTATAACACTTCTCGCTCTATGTGAAAAGTCCTTCATTTGCAGCTTTCGTTTTGTTGGAATGAAAACTATCTAATCGTAGCTTTTTATTGTTGGAGCTTGATGGGGATCAGCTATCCATTGTGACGAATATTTGCCCACAGCTCTCTACCAAACAACTCACCAACCAAGTTCAACCTTTTATTTCTGAAATCATTATACTGCCCATCGGCACCTCTAATAGTTGCTAATACAATATTAGTCATGTTGTTGTCACAGCCATCAAGATCAATCATCTCAAATATGAGGCTGTGTTTGCAGCGATTGTAGAGTTACGGATGTAGTGATTTGAAAATTACTTGTGTTTCGATTGTAAGGACGAATTCTTCTTGATTTGAAGGGATCATTACCTTGTAATCTCTTTTTGATCCATAGGGAAATCTTTTGGTTGCAACTTTCCCTTCGGTAACAAGAAAGTCGTCTGATTGTAACTTTCATTGTTGGGGCTTGATGGGGATCATCTATCCATTGTAATTTTTTAGACAGCCTACAGAACCCCCTCCAAAGTTTTCGAAAGTTCGCGGTTGACTGGGACGAATTTTTGGAATACTTTGGATCCCAAAATTTAGTGTATAGATTGTTCACTCCGTCTGATTTGAAGACGTCGCAAACCTAGTTATTGTAATGTTGAAATTATGTTACCCCAAACCAAACAACGTAACCTTTGAGTCTTAATGACAATGAACTTAATCAAACAAACCAAATCCCAAGTCATCATCAGACTCATCGACAGGCTCGTCCTTCTTCTCTACCTCCTTAGAGGCAGGAGCAGCAGCATTCTTAGCAGATGCAACAGGAACAACAGCAACAGCAAGGACGTTCTTATAGGTATTGACGAACATGTGATGCGTAGCTGCAAGAGTTGGGTAAGAGAGAGTCAAGGACAGCGAAGCGACCGTTGAAACACCAGCTGCAAACTTGTCAACGAGGCCATCCTTCGTGAGGTTGAGCACCTCTGGGCTTAAGATAGATCTATTGTCATAGACAGAGAGAATCATAAGCCCACATGAGAGGGGCTTTATCCTAAGTTTAGTCAGGAGGGCAGCCTCAGAGGAATCCACTTTATCTTTAGTCAGGAGGGCAGCCTCAGAGGAATCCACTTTATCTCCTTTCTTGATCAGCTCAACTGGTGGTGATGATTTTAGCAATATCATCATCACTCTTTTCCACTTTATCTCCTTTCTTGATCAGCTCAACTGGTGGTGATGATTTTAGCAATATCATCATCACTCTTTGTTAGGATGTTAAGCCACTTAGAAGAATGAGTGGCACGTCGGATCGAGCCAGATGATTTTAATGTTGTTGATTGTAATCTATCTGTACTCCTCCAATAGACTCCCCAGCGGAGTCATCTATTTCTTCTCGGCTTTGGTCACCTTGATGATCGCTGTTAGCTCTTCTTTTATTTATCTAGGGATGTGTCATAACCTTGGTAGTCGAGAAGCTGCTATTATAGTGGTCCAAATGCGTAGATAACTTCTGCATTTAAGGATTGGAACGCGTGGGTGAGATCTGCGTTTGAGAATTTGAACATGTGGTTGAGCCTTGCGTTTGGAAGCTCAACCAACTCGATCACTGAAATCGAGTTCGGGCAGGATTCTGGTCTAGAATCTCGTTTCGATTTGACAGCTCACAGCTGTCTATAAATAGACCACTGGGGGTCAAATCAAGAGTCATTCGACTCTTCTTGAAATTATAACGAAAATTTCGTTCTTATCTTCCGACAAGAATTGTTCATCTTCTCTCTCGACTGAGATCCATGGTACCCAAGAAGAAGACTGTCCATTGTCCCTCCAAGTCCGACGTCGTCGTGGTTCAGGGGTCGGTGCCATCTGCGTCGGCCAGCGATGCTACGGCTCAGGCGGGCATGCCGCCCCAACTTCCTTTGATCGGCGGTGAGTTCGACCTCTGTGGTCATTAAACTCGCTGCGGTAAGTTTTGATCTTTGGATCAACGAGGAAACTCATTTCAATAACGCGGGGCTGGACTCCGTCGTTTAGTATTTTCGACGAGGGGTTCGACCCCCGCGTCTTAGATTTTTGACGCGAGGTTCGACCTACGCGTCTGAAATTTTTCAACGCGAGGCTTGAACTCCGCGTCTGAGATTTTTGATGCGAGGTTCGACCTACGCGTCTGAGATTTTCAACGCGAGGTTTGACCTCCGCGTCTAAGATTTGCCTTTGCGTTGTCTAACCTTTTTCTTTGTTTTGCAGTGCGTCATACTAGCGAGCCTCTCCCTTTTCGCCATCATTTTGGGCACGAAGGTGGTGTGGATCTGAATATGACATTCAACTTGCGCCAAGAACTCCCAATTTTCCGAATTACGGAAAAGAGCCGTGTGGAACTAATCACCCAGGCTTCTCCTGAAACTCTTAGGATATTGGTTATGGATGCTCAACTTGAGAACCTGAGCCATAAACCGATAGTCAAACCTGGATTCCTCTTCGGGGATTTTGTTGACTTCGAGGCAGGCGTTGCTTATGATGGGGACTACAAGTAGCTGCGGAAAGTAGAAGACCGCAACCTTTTCTTGCCTAATATGGAGAGGATGTTCCCCATATCTTACTTTCAGTGTGCTTCCATCCCCAGGCGCATGGATTGGAACCTTGTTAAGGATCAGGATGGAATTGTTCTCGGAACCCTGACTTTTCAAGGGGTCCACACAGTTAGTTACAACAGACAGGTGACGGCCTTACGGCCAGGCCTGTTCGCTAAGGAGTACCCTGTCGGCGAAGTGGCCAGTCTGGCGAATACCTTTGTCAAGAAGTTTATGGCAAAGAAAGGAGAATTTCCCACGCAAGGATTTAGAACTCCTGGCTGGGTTCATTCTCCGGTGACAGGGTGGTGGACCCGGATGACCAAGTTTGTTTTGGAGGAATTAGAAGTACCTCTTACTCGAGCTGGCTTGAAGATTCTGGTACGGGCTACTAAATTCGGGATCGTACAAAGCCATTTTCATTTCTTCTCCATATTAGAGAAGTATAGTCCCGAGACTTGTACTTTCTTCACTCCGGTGGGGGAATTAGGCTTCGCTCTTCATGGATGCACGAAGTCTCAGGTCTTCTTCTTGGGGATTTACCATACGAGGAATTTGTTCCGGGATCAGCGGAACTTAAAATTTTAAAGAAGACCAGCCCTGAAATTTATTCCACCCTCTGGGAAGTCATGTGTCACTTCCATATTTGCATGCAGCAGACAGGGGCTCGAGGAAGTGGCATCAAACAGGTGTCTTGGGCGGAGTATTTATTCCAGAACCTGACCAATAAAGGAGCTTCGGTGACCAGATTGTCTGCAAGCACTCTGGGGGAGGTCCAAGCCCGAATTGATGATGCTACCTCCCATTACACTAACGAGGCCAAGGAAGATGTTTTCCCGGCTTATACAGAGTTTGAAAGCTTCCACTATCAAGCTCTGATTCCAATTTTTGACACGGCGTTGTTGGTTGGATTCTTGATGTTGTGGCTCAAGCGTTGTGTCGTTCCTACCAGGCCAATTGATGCTCTTGCTGTTGAGGTGATCTACCCAGCTGTTCTTTTGGCGCATGGGAGGCCTGTGAGCCTCATTACTGCTATGGTGAGTTGCTTGTAGAATGGGCTATGTGAGTTAGCTCTGGATTTCACTGATGTTACAGAGGTTGAGTCTGGGGGTAACAAGGCTTTCAAAACTCCCAACCCCAGGGTGCCATTACCTTATACCTATTTAATGGCTTGGTATGTGCTTCACTGCCCTCCCCTAATGAGTGCAGCCTCTCCCCCAGGAGACTCATTTACCCTGTTTGTGCAACGACTAGAATCTGCAAAATGGGAGGGAGGTTATATGGTTAGGATTCGCCAAATCTTGTCGCGAGACACCCACTACCATATCTTCCGTTGTTTCCCTGATTTTGAAGGTGGCATCTATGGAGCAGAGTATCAGGATGTGGCGGGTCCTGACGGATTCACCCAGCTGAGCGGGGGTGTTTTCCATTGGCTTCTCTCTATTAGGCTAGGCTACCTGATCTTCAGGCAAGGTGATAAGTGTTTCCTCTAACCTTACCAACCCTATAGGTTTGCCCGCCAATTTGGGTATGATCAGTTGTACGTTGGGAACCCTCGACCCTTACCAACCCTATAGGTTTGCCCGCCAATTTGGGTATGATCAGTTGTACGTTGGGAACCCTCGACCTTAACTCTTAGTTGTGAGCAACTTATATGAAGGGGCCAGGGCTTGGTACTATTCTGTGGCAGGTTGTACCAGAGCAATCTTCAGGCTTCCCCACAAAACACCCAACTCCTATACTTCCATGAGCTTCTACAACTGGTATTTTACCGCTTCTCGGACTCCTAATTACAACTTGAATACGTCTTGCCTGAAAGACATCAGGCATATGTATGCTTCGAGAAGGGGGTCAAAGACATCCCGCTTGAGAGGGATTGACGAGTTTCTATCCGTTGAGAATCAGCCTACTGGGCAGGAAGAGGAACAAGGAGTTGAGCCTGTTCCAGGGGAAGAACAACGAGTGGTTGATTCCCCCACAACAAGAGCAATTGGGAAGAGAAAACTCTCAGCGGATGAAGCTGGCCAATACAATAAGCAGACCCATCGGAAGTTGATGGTCAGGTCTCCTCCCCCTAAAGGTCAGCAGTAACCAAAGTTGATGGCTGATGCTATTAGAGCTGCTGAAGATGAAGAGCAACATGAATCTTCAGTTGCGGGCCTGCCACATAGAACTGGACTCCGTTCTCATGGCCCTGCCCTATCGAGCGAAGCTTCTTCTTACCATCCCTCCGAGGGCGAAAAGGGTGAATTAATGGCTACAGATGCAGAATCTGCTCTGGCGATGGACCTTCCTAAGTCTCCTGTATTAGAACCAGGGGGTCTCAAAGGGAATCCATCCCCTCCTCGATCAGCATTAATGCCACAGGCTGGTGGTTTAAGTTCTAGCCCAACGACAGGACTTATGACTAAATCGGCTGCTGGATCAAGTCTTCCTGAATCCTCAACTACATGTGACGGTGAAGAGGAGGTGGATATTGAAGGCTCTTCGACTGGTGAGGCAGCTGACGAAGATGGAGGGACTGAGGATGCTGAAGTTGGCAACGTGCCAAATGGTGGTGAAGATGATGAAGGACATGATTCCATGGATGACATCACTACTTTTGATGATGCTCCTAAGGCCCCATCTGATAAAGCATCTGGTTACACTCCTTTCTATCCCACCAGTAATCTTAGTTTGTTTCAAACCCTTCCACACGCTTTTTTCGCGTTCCGGCCCTTTTTCCGCGCAGGTTCGCCTCCTCCCGAGACTACTGCTGCTACTACTTCGGAGCAAGATCCTGCGTAGATGTCGGCTCCCTTACAAGAGCAACATTTACCTGGCTCACCTACGGCAACTGCTTCACCTGTAGCATTGCCTGAAACTACTGTCGCGACTCCTCCTCCGGAACAGCAGCTCGTGCCGGTGTCAGCTCCTTTGTAGGAGCAAATTTTGCGTGACTCCTCTGCTATGGATTCTTCACCGAAAGCATTAATGAAGATCTCATTCACCCCCACAGAGGTTGGGTCGAGCTCATCTCAGGCGAAGGCGTTGATGGCTTTGACCTCAAGTCCTTTGCAGTCATCATCTTGACGCACCAATCTCAGTGGCTAGAGGGGTGTCTCCGGCTGCGGTTTCTAGTCTCGCTGACGCACCTGAATTCCTTCAAATCTCTCTAGTATATCTAAACAGCCTTGCGAAGACGGTAGTTGAGTACATGGTGAATGGTCGGGGAACTTTGAACTCCTTCCGACCTCTTCTGGAGGCAGGCTTAAATGGAGTCAGGAGCGTGGGCAACACTCAGTAGTTCCAGCGCTATTCCGAGGTTATTCTTCGTTTGGAAGAGCAATTACAACGCTTCGAGGCATTGGGCTGTAAAGAACTTTAGCCGCAAATTATGTCAACTCTGGCTAGTCTTCAGGTTGCAGAAGTGGCTCGCCGAGAAGCAATAGAGCGGGACTTAGCTGAAAGAGAGCGTCAGATCATGGAGCTTCGCGAGTGTAACATTCGGAAGCGAGAGGAGTTAGAACGCTCAACTGCTTCTATGAATTCGCTTCGTGACAGACTCGTTGAAGCTGAGGCCGAAGTTCTGCGATTAAAGACTGAACTTTCTCGTGAAGAAAACATTGTTAATATCCTTAG